ATATAATTTTTTTTTTTCTCACAATTCTTTTTCTGAAAATCATAACATAAATCTACCATTAGGTTTGGCACAGACATCATTGTTAGCTTAGCATTTAGCCAAATATAGCTTGACTTTGCTAGGCACAAAGAAAATGTGGGAACAGCCTACGCTCTCAAAACTTGCCTCGAAATTAGTTTTTATGCTATGTAAATATTTAAAATATATATATTTTATGCTCGTTAGTAAGTTCGAGAGGAGCTTGCAGCTATATTTTATGTGCTTTTAGGCTTGCTGTTTCTAAGCGAACAGCTACATGTTTTCACAACAATGCTATTTTATTTAATTCTGCAAAATGCCCAAATCAAAAATTCCTCTTTAAATATCAAACTTATACCTTTACTTAAGTTATTAAATAGGTGTAAAATCTAATCTTAACACACAAAGCTTTTTTTTTTTTTTCTCCGGATTGATAAATACATGCCCAGTTGTTATTTACAGGCCCAGTTGTTATTTACAGGCCCAGTTGTTATTTACAGGCCCAGTTGTTATTTACAGGCCCAGTTGTTATTTACAGGCGATGATATTCAGTGTTAAAGTGTAAATGAGGCAAAGTGCTGTTTGGTATTAATATTGTACAGAAAGCTCAGGTAGCGAGTTATGTTTGTTGAATATAAAAACTTCTGTGACGTGACATTAGGCTACGTCTCCATGTAATCGCAGCAGCTCAGAAATGATCATTTTTCATTCGTGGGGTTTATTATTCTCATGCTCTTGGCTGTGATACACATGCATTGGTTGTATCTGAACTCAGTTGTTTGAGTAACAAATAAAAGAATAATTCTGGTTTGTGAACGACACTTTACTGCAAGAACAGTTTCATTCCCTGGTCTGTTTTTCTGCTCTCCACCTTCTCGTGATCTCTGTCTCTTCTCTCCCTCATCACCAAGATGCTATTTATAGCTGCCCTGTTTTTTCTTCCTCTCCGTTCTCTTTTTCCTCTCTCTGTCAGGAAATGATCCACAGAAGCTCTCACAATCTTCTGTGTAATCACAAGAGGCCTTACGGGTATTTGTTGGGCAGCTGCTGATTGCTCTGCCCCACAAAATGATAATTACATTATCTCAAACCATGCTACATTAAAGCTACTATGAAAGCACAGCAAAACCACAATAAACCAGTCATTATTTTATTTCTGTATCCATTCCAATTGAGTGTTTCAAGAACAAAGAGACTACATTTTTTGTGCACAGAAGAGTTCACAATTTTCGGTTTACTCTTCCATGACGGTGACATTAATGGTTACAAATGCATCATTTCAGCAATTTTACCACTGCAGATTTGTGGATTGATTTGGATCGTGGGATCCTTTTTCCTAAAACAGAACTATGTTAATTTATCATCTGTCTTTCATCATTTAAAAAAAATACAATTTAGCTTACGTTCAGATGCCTGAATTACAAATTAAAACGAGCATGCATACATAAGTGGTAACTGAATATAAGCCCCGCCCACTTAACTTAAAAAAAATTGTACATATATTGGCCGCACCTGTTTATAAGTCACAGGTGTCCACGTTGTAACAGGAGATACTTACACAGAATGTTTTAAAAAATGTTAAATTAAATACATACTGGTAACATACACATATATATACAGTAAATGTTTTTTTTTTTCTGAACTGAGTTTTACTGGTCCACTGTGACCTGTTCGGTAATTTCATTAGTCAGATTTTTTTAACCTTATACAGGTAGTCTCACTGACGAGGACCCACCCACCAAGAGAGGCGTGTATTAGGCAGCTAGGTGAGCGCCCAGGTGTGACGAGGCTAAATGTTTTGGCGGCATGAAGCTCGTTAGCTCGTCAAAAAAAAATCCATAAATTAGCTGCAGTATTGTATAAACTGGTGTTCAAAACCTATGAAAAAAGTATCTGCTTATAGACTGGAAATTACGGTATTATGCCTATTCACGATATTGCTGATTATATTATTTCATTGGTATAGTCTTGTTTGTTGTTCATGTAAAAATAAACTTGTCTTCCTTGTCCTTGTCAGCCATTTTGTTCAGAAAAATCAGAAACTTTTACCACAATATTTTATATTTGGCTTTTCAAATCAAAGCTGATTTAAAGCAAACCAATTTTTTTCCTTGTTAATTGGCAAAATGTCCAGTTTATTGTTGTGACAGTTGTGCCATGCTTGTTGACAAAGGCAAACGAAGGCAAGTGTTATGGATGTGGAATTTAAACAAAATATTTAAAGCATAATGCACAAAGAATGACAGAACAAGATGGGAACATGAGTCGTTTACATACTGGAGGTGGTTTGTAAAGAGAAACGAGGTCTATTTGGACAGCTCAAAGATGACCACGACTGAGTAGCCAAAATACTAAAACTCGTGATAATCCAACAAAAGCAACCCAAGTAAACAATAAACAGAGTGAGAAAGCTGAGGTAAGATTCAGCACATTTCTCCACCTTGTGGCTGCCTCCCTTTGTAGATGTTTATTATTTTTCATTTGAAATACGACCGTGTGACGTGAACAGCTGTGAATGGAACAAAACATCTGCAGCTAAACAAAGACTACGAGTAAAACTGGCGACCTGCTGACGGGTCTGCAAACGATGTCGTTTACAAAATGGAGACTTGATTAATAGAAAATGCTTCACGTCCAACTGGAAGGTGGTCGGTGTGAAAATGGAGGAGCAGAGCCAGCCAGTTTCTGGACCATCACAGATGGCCGTTTAGCCTCCTGAGGAGCGTTGGCGTTTATGAGATGGTTTAACTGGACCTCACGCTGCACGCCTCTCCCCTCCATCACACGGTCTCAGCTTCCTCTGGGTCAGACAGGCCGGCTGTCTCACTGTGTGTGTTTGTGTCATCCTGCTGCACCCATGCTGGGCTGCCATCTCAACCGCAGCATCAGGACCGATGAAGGGCAAAGGCCGCAAATGTTTTCACCATGATGAGAAGCAAACTGGTGTTGGAGGACAGTTGATGTTAGTGATTTACATCAGCATTGGTTTTTTTTTTTATCAAGATGATGCATCTTTTAGTGTTGTCTTCTTAAGACATCATTTCTTAATCTTCTAGACACGATCTGTGTCGTTTGATTTGTTTTTGGTGTTTATTTTTGATTTATTGTTAATTTTGACCACTATTATGATCAATTTTTCTTCCGTACATTTTCCTTCGTGATTCTCATCCCACAGTTTTCGAGCTAGTTCAACAAATCATAAATCAAAATGTTCAGCTCTTTCAGGACAATCCTGCTGTGACTTTTGTTATTGGTGCAATTTTAGCTTTTTGAAATATTTAGTTTTCTGTCTTCTTTTTTTTTTCTCAGAAAATGAATTGAGCTCATTTTACATCCTTCATATCTTTAGATCTGTTTACAACCTTTTACTGCTCCTTTCACATTTTGTTCTGCTTCAGCTTCTTTCAACTTCCTTGTGAAAATTAAAAAAAAAAAAAAATCTATTTTCAGCTAATTTAGCTGTTTTTCAGCTGCTTTGTGATCCTTTATAGATTTTTTTCTGCTGACTACAACATTTTGTGCAACTTCTTTATGCTAATTTCAGCATGTTATGCTCCTTTTAGCTTATTTCTGCAAGTTTCATCTTTTTCTACTGTATAGCTGTTTATGTTTATTTTCAGATCATTTTCACTTTTTGTGCTCATTTATGCTTCTTTCAGCCTAATTAGGCAAATGTGGGTTTTTCTGCTTTTTTCTGCTAATTTAAGCTTGTTCTATTTTTTCAGCTGCCTTTTTTTTAGCATTTTTAGCTAATTTCAGCTGTTTTCAGATAAGTTCAAGTTTTTCATGGTAATTTCTGCTACTTTCACCCCAATTAACTTATATCTGCTGATTTCAGTTTATGCTCCTTTCAGCTTAATTATGCTAGATTAAGTTATTTTAGCTATTATTTAGCCGTTTTATGCCAATTTTCATTTTTTCAGCAACTACTTTTTTTTTTTTTTTGCTAATTTAATCTCTTTTCACTTCCATATGATAAACTTCCTTCTGCCTTTCAGCTAGTTTTCAGATAATTTTGCTAATTTCAGGTTGTTGTTAGCTTCTTTTTTTTTTAATTTTTGTGCTTATTTCTGGTTACTGTAGTTACCGGTAAACCTACTTAAGCAAATATGTGATCTTTCTGCTTTCTTTGCTAATTTAGGCTCGTTTTTACATTTCAGCATGTTGTTTTTACATTTCAGCATGTTGTTTTTACATTTCAGCATGTTGTTTTTACATTTCAGCATGTTGTTTTTGCTCATTTCAGCTGTTTTGCAGCAAATTCTTCAGCAATAAGCATTAACACTGCATTTTTGCAGGAAATGCAATTTCTCTGGTTTCCTTTGTTTGTTTTTGTTGTTTTCTATATGTTTGTTGTTTCCAGTGACACCCCCCCCCCCCCCCCCAGTCAGTGCTCCATAGCTCCTGCTCCACCCACTCTCACCTGTTCCCGTCATTTTGCCCAGGTGTCTCCTCTCCTCTCATCAGCCCCTGTCCATAAAGTCCCTCAGCTTTTCACTTCACCTTCAGTCTAGCATCGTGTGTGCTCCACGCCATGTTCCTTTGCGTCTCCTTGTGCTCCTGTAAGTTGATGCTGTCACGCCAACCTTTTGTTTCTTTTTATCAAAGTCTCTAAGTTTATGTTTTGTCTGGATATCTGGGTCCAGACCTCCACAAATCACAACACAAAAAATAAAACAAGGTAAAGATGTGGAAAACAGCCGACAAGCAAAACTCTACGGAGTTCACGGTTTCTATTAAGAACAGTTTAAACTATTGTATAGTTTGTTATATTAGAGGAGATAATAAATGCTATTCACTCGGGGCATTTTTTTAAATTTCATAATTAATTTTGAAAGTCTGTTGCCAAATCTTCAAGTGAGTTCGCTCGCAGAAGAAGGGAGCAACCGAAAAAATAATCATAATAATTTTGAAAGTGATTTGTGTTCGCTTACAATTATTATTGGTTGATTAATTTGTGAGAAATGTATTTTACATTATAGTAACAAAAATCTGCTAAAAATCCACAGAGCAAGAAAACAGTCCATTAAACTGACTCTTAAAAAGCCTTTGTTTAAATTACTTACATTAAAATGTGAAATGGTCAAAGATATGTAATTGAAGGACTGGATACCAGTTAATTTGATGAAAGCTAGCTTTACTTTGCCATGTACATAGAAAGTTTTGTTCTTTCGGTGAACATGAAGAATAAGTCCGCTTTGGAAATGATATAAAAATATTTTTTACTTGAATAAACTTTATATAACTGGTGTTTCTGTTTGAGTTGTGGAGAAAAATCAGACATTGATGTTTTCTAATGAGCGTCTAATGAGCGTTATAACGTTTACCCTTTAAAATAGCCATTTAATCTTTTATAAATCTATTATAAACATAGCACATGACATCATTTGTTCTCTTTATGGTGCTTTACAAAATAAACTAATGGAAATGTTTGCAGTTAAAGAAATACTGAGGATTTTACCAAAAGCTGAACAAGTCTTGTAAACCAAGCAGCTATTTTTAAGCAATGAGTTTAGTTAAAAGTTAAATAAATATAGCTACATTATATTTGTAGTGAAATCAGAATATTTCACCACTTCTTTCAACTCTGCTCACCATCAGCAGAAACTGCTAATTAAACCAGCTAAACCTTCAGTGTAAATATTGTACAAATTATTTAAACTGAATTAATTATTAAGAATGAATAAGATTGTTGTGTATAAATAATGCTCCACAGCGAAGTTTTCAGCTGACGGCATTCAGCGAACAAACATCCAGCTGGTGCAAACGTATACAAGTCAGAAAACAACAGTTTTAAGGTCTTAACAGATCCATCGGTCAGTCGGATCAGTCTAATCTAGCTCCAGAGAAATCTGCTCACGTGCAGTTTTGTTTGTTCCTTGGGTCAAAGTGACCCACGAGGCCTAAATTGACAGAAAACGTCTTAGTCTCGGAGCTGCTGGTGTTCCTCTGATTGTCATAGAAGGGTTTTAATTTTGGTGTATTGGCAAAGGCAGATGGGGCCGGTGGTGCAGTGGTTCTTGCGGGCACGCAGGCGGCAGTTGGACGGTCCTGACAGCCTCTCGGACATCAGCAGTTTCACGTACGCTGCGCTGTACGTCATCAGAAGTTGGTGCGCTTTGGCCTGCAAAATGGATGCAAAGACAAACTCGTATCATCGTTTTTATTTATTGTTGTTAAACGTAACTTTGAATGCGCCTAGAAATGGATTGTTTACCAGTAATAATCAATGTAAACGTATGAATGACACAAATTAGCTTCTTATGTGAAATTGGGTGTTTATGGTTGCTGCTGGGTGGTCTTAGGTCTGAACATTTTCTTTAGATAAAGGACTCAAAGATTTTTTTCCAAGTTTATTTAATTAAATAAAGATTAATAAGACCAGCTGCTGTTTAAGAAACCAGATTGGATATACTTTTTCTGTAAATAGCATGTATATTTTTCAGAGTCAGAGATTCTTTGTCATTCGCACCTCATGTGGTCCATGTGGTGGAGCGAAATTATGTACACAGGGTCCCAGTTACATCCAACAATAAAATGTAAAATAAAAACAATGATAACATCCAAGATATGAATTAAGAAAAACAAAAACATTGAACATCAGCACAAACATGAACACGAGTCCGTGTAAGCAGATGAGCATGCATGAACACATCAACATTGAAACAGATCAGCAGCAACATGAAACAGATCAGCAGCAACATGATGTGATTTTTTTCACAGCGATTATTCTGGTTATAGATTCATGAGTCTAACAGCCTCAGGGTAGAAGCTGTTCCTCAGTCTAGTGGTTCTACACTTGATGCTCCTCAACCTCCTTCCTGAGGGGAGTGGGGCAAAAAGTGTGTGTGCTGGGTGAGTGGGGTCCTTCATGACGCAGGTGGTCCTCTTCCTGCATCTGGAGGTGTAAATGTTTGTGATGGTGGGGAGACTGACTCCAACATCTTCTGTGCAGCCTTCACCACTCTCTGCAAAGCTTTTCTTTCTGCAGCTGTGCAGCCTCCATGCCACACGTTGATGCTGGAGCACAGGATGCTCTCCACTGCACACCTGTAGAAGGAGGTGAGCTTTCTTGATCAGGCTGGTGGTGTTGTTGCTCCAGCTGAGGTTGTCATTCATGTGTACACCCAAGTACTTGTAGCTGGAGACCACTTCCACCACAGATCCTCTTATGTTCAGGGGGTGTAGGTGTTTTTGTTCCTTCTGAAGTCCACAATCATCTCCTTTGTCTTCTTCACATTGATGTGAAGGTTATTCTCTTTGCACCAGCTCTCCAGGTGTTCCACCTCTTGCCTTTTTACTTTTTACTCACTATTTTTAGATTATTTACTCTGTTTTTCTGCACGATGTCTTGCTGCTGCTGTGGCATCTAAATTTCCCCACTGTGGGATAATTAAAGTCTTTATCGTATCTTATAAATGATCTCATCACAGATTTAAATTATTTGTTGTAAATGGAAAACAATATTTTCTTCTTTTTTTTTTTTGGACACCATAAAAATTTTAATGTTGTCCATTTGTCAAAAGCTTTGTCAATTGTACTTTTGTTTTTCCTGCATATCTGTTGCAAATTGTGAAAAAACATCCATAATATCATACATATATATATATGCACATGCTGTTTTTCATTTCATCCTATCTGCTCCGGCTTCATGTTTGTTATCGTTCAGGTCAGGACCAATGTTGAGTTTAAAAGGTCAGATTCTCACCTGAGCAGGTAAAGAAGCTTCAGGGACCAGGCTGAAGCTCGAGGTGACTGTAGCGCCCCCTGGCTGGTTGGAGGACCTCGTGTCCTCACTTCTCAGCAGAGGCCTGCCTTCGTCCAGGTCTTGTTCAGCACCTGAGCCCCCGTGATCGATGTCCTCGGGGTCAACAGGACAGACCTCGATCACCAAGACGAGATGTGACATCCTGCTTTTCAGTTTGTTCTGACGAAAATAAAGGATTTCATCCATTTGGTGCAAACTACAACATGTAACGCTGAAATCCCTTCCTAAACTGAATATAACAGAGACCAAACTGAGAGACGGATGGACTCGACTCTCACCTGAGTTTCAGGCGTCATGAAGCATCTTTCCTCTAAAGATTCAGTCAGTGTCCTCAAACAGCGGGACATGTCCCAGTACACAAAGTACAACTGCAGAGACACAAACGGGTGAACACGAGAGGTTTAAAGACTCATACATTGAAATGATGGTCAAATGTTAAAATACACTCAGCGTTGGCACAAGTGTTTTATTAATTAGGGTCTTTTAACGATTGATTTGAACCATTTTTTCCAGGGTGGGACAGATTAAACAACAAACATCTTGGATGCTTTTCAAACCAACAACTGGGTGTACTATTGTGAAATAGTGTGGGTTTGCTCTAATCTACAAAAGGTCAAATATAAACACATATTCACAGAGGCGTGGTAGCTTGGTGGTCAGTGCCACAGTTCAAGCCCGGGTGCTGTCAGGAAAAACGTCCGGCAGAAAACGTTCACCTAATCTTCTGTGCAAGTTTGCTCGCTTTGGCAACCCCTGCAGAAAGGGAGACCCTAGAAGATTTTTCAACCTGACCAGGCCTGTTAACTTCTCCTGGCTCTCCCCCTGTCCAAAACGTCTCGCTGGTCTAAAGTCTGCCTTTAGCTGAAAAGAACGTGCCGACAAAGAAAGAAACCCTGCTCCAAAAGCAGCACCTTCAAGCTCGACTGAAATTTGCTGCTGCTCATGTGGACAAACCAAATATCTCCAGGAAAATAAGTTTTACAATCAGACAAGACAAACAGGGCTGTTTGGCCACAATGACAAGAAGTATGTTTGGAGAGGTCAAGACGAGGCGTTCAAATGAAAGATCGTTGTACTAACAGTCAAGCATGGTGGTGGTACCATCATGCTGTGCTGCTAGTGCATTGCACCGTTGGAAAAAATGAAGAAGTCTACATTTAGATGCGTCACCTTCATCTAAGATCAGCAGCTAGATGGTTGAAACTTGGACACGTTGGGTGCTACAGCCAGATAACAATCACAAGTCATCAGAACTGGTTTCTGGTTGGATAAAAAGGCAATTAAGATTCTAGAAAGGCCTTTCTGAGCCTCGGCCTTAACCTAATTGAACATTTGTGCACTGTCCTTAAAAGTCAGATCTGTGTCAGAGAACCAATCATTTTAAATCAATTCTACCAATTTTCCAAAACATGGAGCCAGAAGCTCATTGATGGACAGAAAAAAGTCTGTTCAGGTCCATTTTGCTATGAAATATTTAAGCAAGTATTAGTGGGGCTGCATGGAGGTATTTGAGTCTGAATGTCTGATTTTGACCCTGTGGATCAGAGATGATAAATTCAAGCATCTGCACCCAGTTTTTCTTTTTAAAATCAGTGATTTCTCCACTCACCATGTGCAGTGTTCAAACTAAAACCTCATCTTAAGCAGTTTATGACGAAAATAAATCCTCGGCACATCCGGTGTTAATTAATTTGTGCTTTACTAAAGTTATCTGATTTTTAAGAAAACAAACCTGCGTGTGTCCGGAGCAGTTTTTCACCCAGTCGGCCACCCCGACCAGCAGCTTGTGTTTCACCAGCATCTCATTGACCTGGACCAACCGAACGTCCACGTTGATGTTGATCTGAAGCAGAAACCGACCGTTCAGTTTTTATTAAAAGCAACAACATGCAGTTTTAAGTTGATTCAAACCTTCAGTAGCGCACAAACTGACCTCCTTGTTGCTGTGATGAAGGATGAAGATGAGGGCCGTGGTGAGGAGGATGGAGACCAGGCTGACGGAGAGACAAAGGACCCAGAGGTCACTGATACCGATGTAGAGGTGGAAGGTGGAGAAGACGGCACACCACACCACCACATACATCACCTGATGGAAGCAGAGTAAACAAACAAAACAAAAAAGAAGCAAGTTTAACTATAGAGGAATTGCATTGCATGTGAAAATGCAGTGTAAATGCTTGTTGCAGAAGAACTTGCTGAAAAACAGCTGAAATTAGCTAAAAAAAATGTTGAAAGGTAGCTGAAATTAAATAGCACACATAAATTAGCAGCAGAAAGCTGAAAGAACACAATTTTTGCTGAAATAGGTTTAAATAAGTAGGAATTTGCATAAAATAAAATAAAAAACAGCTAAGGAAAGTGAAAATTAGCATAAAAAAATCTAAAAAGTAGCCGAAAAGGCAGAAGCTTAACCTTCGACAAGGAAGTGGAAAGCACTGAAATGCGCTCAAAAGTGTGGAATGAGCTAAAAAAGCTAAAATTTGCATAAAACAGCTAAATAATAGCTGAGATAGCAGAAAAAACTTAAACTAGATGAAAAAAGCTGAAAGGAGCATAACAAGTTGAAATTAGCATAAAGAAGTTAATTAGGTTGAAAGTAGCAGAAATTACCAAGAAAAACTTGAATTTATATGAAAACAGCTGAAATTGGTTAAAAAACATGCTGAAATGTAGCTGAAATTAAAGAACAAGCCTAAATTAGCAAAAGGAAGCAGAACGAACACATTTTTTGCAGAATTAGGTTTTAATAAGCAGAAATGAGCATAGATTTTAAGAAAACAGCTAAAGAAAGTGACATTTAGCATTAAAAAAATATAAAAAGTAGCCGAAAAGGCAAGCTTAACCTACGAGAAGGAAGTGGAAAGAACTAAAATGTGCTCAAAATTTTGGAATTAGCTAAAAAAAAAAAGGTAAAACTTGAAATGATATGAAAACAGCTGAAATTAACTAAAAAATTGTGAAAGGTTTGCTGAAAAAGTGGAAAAAGCTTAAATTAGTAGAAGAAAGCGGAAAAAACATATCTGCCCAGTTTTGTTGAAATAAGCAGAAATGTGCAACAAACAGCTGAAAGTAGCTGGAAAGGCTGAAAGAAGCTTAAATTACCAGAATGAAGTGGAAAGAGCACATTTTTTGTTGCTGAATTAGGCTGAAAAAAGTTTAAATGAGAGCAAAAATGTCAAATTAAATGAAAAAGCTAAAAATTTGAATAAAACTGTTATATATTAGCTGAAATAGTAAAAAAAAAAAAAAAAGCTGAAACTTGCAGAAATACGCTGAAAGGAGCATAACAAGCTGAAATTAGCAGAAAGAAGTTCGAAGAAGCACAAAAATGTTTTAAGAATCTGAAAGGAGCACAAAACAGCTGAAAAACAGCTGAAATTAGTTGAAAATGTTTAAATTTGCACAAGGAAGCTGAAAGAAGCTGAAACAAAATGTGAAAGGAGCAGTAAAAGGTTGTAAACAGGTCTAAAGATGTGAAAAATGAGCTCAGTTCATTTTCTATGAGGAAAATGGATCACAATAGTGTGAATGCTTTATAAACATTCCCACAATAAGCCTCTATCTGAGAGCATAAACAGTTGTTACTGTGGCCAAAGAGTGTTGGCATTTTCTTTGAAATTGTTGTATTTTTTAAAGCAATGCCCTTTAGAGATGCTGCGTAAACAATTTTCTTCCTGCATTTATGAAAGCTAATTAGCTCCAACAGCTTAGGAGCTACCTTGAGGCGGAACATAATGAGTATTTAATAATTCAGATTTCAGTCTTGAGCAACATATTTACATGTTTATCCAAATGACTGGACACATTTTGGTGTTAGGGGCTTTATAACATGGGCTGTCAAACACTGTTTAGCTTTATTTTCAACATAAATCTTAGCTTTAGATTTCTAATACACAAAGATTTGTTACTCTGATGAATAATGATGTAAAGTTCTTTGTTTCTTAGCGTTTGTGAGCAAAATCTGTGAAGCAAACTTCTATTCTGTGATTTTAATGATCAAAATCACAGAAAAAGAACAAATCTGGACATGAAAGCTGTGACAGGAAGGGAGGTGAGTGTGCAGATATATACCGGTGCCATTAAGAAGTGGAAAAAACCCATGTTGAAAACCATGAATCTTCTGACTGAGGGAACATCCAGGGCTTTTTTCAAAGGAACCTCCATGTCCCTGACTGGAATCTACTGGGACAAATAACAAACTGACTACCAGGATGTAAAACCAGTCAGATATATCTCAGAGAAATGGTTTGCACTGACCTCAAAACCCTCCCTCTGTAGTTTGGTGCGACACAGAGACAGATCAAAAGTGGGGTTAAAGGTCGAGCTGCTCCGCATCGCCACGACACACTGGCCTGATGAAGACAGAAGGAATTATTATTATTATTATTATTATTATTATTATTATTATTATTATCATTTGCTTGTCTGAGGCAATGCAGATCGATGGATCCTGGCAAGTGGAGGGAGCAATTTTATCCAGGTTCAATGGTGGAACTAAGGGGTGGACAATGGTGGCCTTGGCCACCATGGATTAATCTTCAGCCACCCCAATTATTTGAAGAAACTTTATTTAAAAGCAATATAAAAACTAGAAAACATAGTTTCTTCAAATGAGTGGGGTGGCTGAGTTACATAAATATTTCTAGTGGAGGCCATCTTGG